TCCCCCAGTCTATAGCCTCTCTTTTCTCCTCCCAAATCTTCTACATCCACACACACTACTACCTCCCTTAAACATATCCACCTCACTTGCCAAATCTCTTCTTCTCTCCTCCTCCACGGCCTACTCTAGATACTCTACTCTCAAATCCCAAAATCACCTCTCTCTCCTCCCGTGGTCCCGTCCGCAAACCTCCATTCGTGCTCACACAACATCTCCTCCCTCTCACGAACCTCACTCACACATCACACATCTCCCTTTTTCTCATCCCCCAACCCCCCCTCCATACGCCTCCATTCACACTCACCATCTCCTCTCCCTCACAGCCCACACTCACACACACCACACTCCTTCCCTTCCTTCATCCTGTGACCTAGCCTCCTCTATACGCCCCCGTTCACGCACAACATCTCCTCTCCCTCACTAACCGCACTCACACACACCGTACTATTTCATTTTTCTCCATCATTGACCCAGCCTCCTCCATACGCCCCCACTCACACACCACATCTCCTCTCCCTCACAGACCACACTCACACACATCGCACTCCTTTCCTCTCCTCCCGCGGCCTAATCTCCCCCATGCGCCCCCGCTCACGCACAACATCTCCTCTCCCTCACTAACCGCACTCACACACACCGTACTATTTCATTTTTCTCCATCATTGACCCAGCCTCCTCCATACACCCCCACTCACACACCACATCTCCTCTCCCTCACAGACCACACTCACACACATCGCACTCCTTTCCTCTCCTCTCGCGGCCTAATCTCCCCCATGCGCCCCCGCTCACACACGACCTCACCTCTCCCTCACAGGCCTCTCTCCCACGCCACACTTCTTCTTCTTCCTCCTTCCGCGGTCTCCTCCTCACACCTCCACTCACACTTATACTAACTCCTCCACCTAGGGAAGTTTTCAAATCCACATCCATTAAAAGGAAATTTAAAATTACCATACCTCCCATTTCCATCTTCCTTCCTCCCACTGATTGCACCGTCGTCGTCCTCTTTCTTATTCTCTCTCCCTTCTCGTTCCTCTCCGCTTCAACTCCTCTCTCTCTCTCTCTCTTTCTCTCTCTCTCTCTTTCGAACCTTCTTTTCCCTCATCGCTCTCTATCTTCTCTTCTTTCTCTTTTCTTTTCTTTTTCCTCCCTGTTCTCTCCCTTCTCATTCCTCTCTGCTTCGACTCCTATATCTCTCTTTCTCGAACCTTCTTTTCCCTCCCATGCTCTCTCTCTTCTCTACTTTCTCTTTTTTTTTTCTTTTTCCTCCCCGTTCTCTCCCTTCTCTGTTTTCTCTTTTTTTTTCTTTCTTTTCTCTACCTTTTTCTCTTTTTTTTTTCAAATTATTACATATACTTCCTCCTAAAAAAAAATTTGGTCTCTCAAATTTTGTCAACTTACCTCCAAAAAGTTCTGGATAATTTCATCTCATCTCATCTCGTCCTCCCATTCCCATATTGTTTCCTTATTCGTGTGATGTCTCCATTATATCTTCACCATAAGAATCACCCTACTCCTCAACCTCCCTTCTTATCGCTCAAAAACCCGAATCGGTTCCTCTTCATAAGACAAGTCCATTCTCCAAAGGTAACGATTCATACCTTATAATATGACTCGGATCTGGACGATATTTTCGTAGTAGGGATACGTGGAATACATTGTGAACTCCACTATACCGAGGAGGAAGAGCTACCATGTACACAACCACCCCCACCTTCTCTAAAACTTCAAACGGCCCTATGAAACGGGGACTTAACTTCTCCTTTTTCCCAACCTCAACAAACCCTTCATGGGAGATACTCTCAGAAACACATGATCCCATACTACAAAGCTCAAATCTCTCATGCGATTGTCTGCGTATCCCTTTTTGTCTGCTTTGGGCTGTTTGTAAATTCTGTCGTATCACTAACGCTTTAACCGTAGTTTCCTCCACCATTCCCGGTCCCAACACTGTCTCTTTCCCACTTCACCCTAGCACACCAGCGATCTACAGGGCCTACCATAAAGAGCTTCATATGAGGTCATCCCGATGGTAGTATGATAACTATTGTTGTATGTAAACTCCATTAAGGGCAATATATCATCCCTCTCTCCCTCCATATCGATAACACATGCTCGCAACATATCCTCCAATACTTGTATCGTCCTCTCCGTCTGTCAATATGTTTGCGGGTGAAAGTTGTGCTGAAATTCAGTTCAGTACCCAAAGCCTGTTGTAAACCTCTCCAATAGATTAATATACTGAACACTAGTAAGGATTTGATTTTTTTTCTTATCCGAAAGCCTAGGGCTGCCTAACCCTGTTTTTTTATAGATTTTTATGCAAAATCGCCCAAAAATGGCTAGGTCGAGAGGAGACGCCACCGTGAGCGGTGGAGCCAGCGTTGGAACACGGCGGTGGCGTTGTGCCAGAACTTTTAAACCGGCCGAAAAAAATTAAAAATACTTATTTTGGCCTCTTTGGAGTATTTTAGAATACGTGACGCGTATTTTTTATTTTGTAGAAAAAAAAATTTAGGAAATCCGAGAGCCGCCAGGAAGCGCAGTGAAAAAGATGATGTCTCGAACATCGAACTGGGTTAAGAATCTCTCACCTTTTTATCTTGTTACGGTAAATTAAAATTTAATAATTAAAAATGGTGTATTTTATAAATATTGTAAATCCCTAATTAATTTAATACAGGTCACCAGTGAAGCAAATAACGGATCAGTATATAGTTTATATGTGTTGTCCATTTATTTATATATTGTCTTAATTACTTACTGTTATATCAGGTGCTTTATGTAACCGTTTTATCCCTATATGTCGATTGATTTGAAATAAATTTTCCAACTACGTTTTCTCTTAGTTATTAAAACATCAATTTATATTGTTTGTTTGATTGCCATTATGTTGTCCTGAAATTATGGAATAAGATTTTAGTATGAAATCGATGGCTGGTAAATGGTGTGATTATGTGTATAAAGGGCTTTTCGGGTATCATGAAAAATAGTGTATGGACCCGGTACATACGGTAAACTCTACCATGAACATTATCTCAGTCGAATGAGGCTGATAAGTTCCATACCGGAAGAGGTTGAGAGATATAGTTCATCATAATAGCGGACGGAGTAGTGAGACGGTGGTACATTTGACGCTCGTTACCAAACGGGGTATGGGGACGACCAGTTAATTGATAAATTGGATATTTGGTCCACGTATAGGAAAAATTCCTATGGACCCCTATAGGTAAAATGTAGCGTTTACTATTACTGTTTAT